AACTGAATTGAATTGAATTATCATTTTGCTTCATAAATGTGATTGGTTTAAGAGCTAGAATTAAAGAAGTGAAAAATGAAAGAAAAGCTAATGGTAAACTAGCTCCACAGGTGGCACTGTCTTGGAAAGAAACTCTAACTAAACCTTCTGAGCTTGGTGCAGAGTCTGTGCATGAACTAGTTCTTCTGCATTATTTCCATTGAAAAAGTCATTAACATGTAGATTATTACATCATACATCATTCAACATATGGAACATATTCTCACCTACAATTTTAAAACTTTTCTGGTTTAATTTACCTCAGTTTGGTTCACTTTGAACATTCTGTCTGCTCCTACTCATTTCAAATTGTGTTTTCCAGATCACACTCTCTTCACTTCTGGGGTTTCCCTCTGGAGTAAGAAGCAAAGACACATTTCTATTGGTCTGCTGGACGTTAGCAACATTATCATTGGTCAAACAGATTGTGACGTGCTTGGAGTAAAGAGAATGGGATCAGTAAAAGGTCATTTGACAAGAAAGCAATTCATAAAACTCAACATTAAAAGGAGAAATTTAAAGAAATAATGTTTCAATAAATCTTTGGAAACAGAATCCGTAAAAAGTTTTGAAGCAATAAAATAAAAAATAAAAATAAAAAGATTAAATGTTAGAAAACCACAAAGTTTCTTAATTATTAAAAAGATTTAATTTCATAAAAAATTTCCATTTACTAAAGCTTTCTTTGCCTAGAAAAACAATGAAATAAACTTCACTCCATAGTCCTTCATAACTTTTCAGACTTTTTAGACATATGAAAGCATACAAACGAGATAGAAAGAACAGAAAAAGAGGAGGGGGACGTAAAGTAATGAGAATATTGAGGATATATCCTTCTAATTAATGGAAACGCTGGTTAATTACATTACTCTTTACATTGGAAAAGTGAAAATCTGAGACTCTCCACAAATGTTATCCCTTTGCGAGTTAAATTTGCTGAAATACTCTTCCCTGTTGAAGAGTGATTTCATTTCCAACCATACATGCATTCTGACAGCGATAGTGCTGTAGACGGAGGTGAAGGAGATTTCCAGGAGGATAAAATACAGCTTCTAGCAAGAAAAGATTACTGCTGTTTCTCTCTGCTCTAAACTTACCAAAGCAAACTGAACAGCCGCGGCCGACCGTCTAACTGATGAATTATGCCACATCTAACACCCAGTTTACAGGATCAGCAGAGACACACAGAGCATTGAAGCTGCAGCTTCGTCCTTTCTTTTTATTTTCACCCCTAACTTTGCCATCAGACCGTCTTATATAA